GTACACTTGTACAATAAGTGTTTAAAATGTGGCGTACAAGCGGAAATGAGCTGCTCTTTTGGGGTGTTCTTATTGTGCAACTTGCCAGGTTGCTCTCTTTTGGCACGGGAAGTTGGGGTGATTGCTCTTCCCTGAGTTCGGGCTTTTTTTCACAATAGCGACCGACCCTTTGACCCATCGGCCAAGCATCGCAGGGAGGCGAAATGAGGCCCAAGCTTGTTGTTGATTATCTGGTCTATGTGACCGTTCGTCTATTTATCTGTGCGGTGCAAGCCACGCCTCTCTCGGTCTGTGCTCAGGTCTCTAAATTCCTGGCCTGGCTCGCCAACGACATTTTCAAGATCCGCGGCAAGCTGCTCGACTCGAACTTGAAGCATGCGTTTCCTGAACTCTCGTCGCAAGAACGCCACAAACTGGCTCGCCGAAGTTGGTATCACCTTTGTCTAATGGTGTGCGAAATCGCCCACGCGCCGCGAAAGCTGCACGACACCAACTGGCACAAGTTCATCACAATGAAGAACATTCACATCCAGATCGAGCAGGCCCTCGGCCGCCGTCCGGTGGTGGTGCTGCTCGGACACTTCGGCAACTTTGAAGTGATGGGCTATTGCACGGGGATGCTCGGCTTCCCGACGTACACGGTGGCCCGGCCGCTGGACAATCCTTTTCTGCATAAGTATCTGGAAGAGTTCCGCAGCGCTACCGGGCAGATCATTCTGCCGAAGCAAGGAAGTGCTCCGTACATTGAAGAGGTGCTGAAACAGAACGGCACGTTGGCGCTGCTGTGCGATCAAAATGCCGGACCGAAAGGGTGCTGGGTCGAGTTTCTCAATCGGCCCGCTTCGTACCACAAAGCAATCAGCGTGTTCTCGATGACCAGCGGCGCGCCGTTGGTGTTCCTCTATATGCGTCGCACCGGCGGCCCTCTGCAGTTCGAGTTCGGCGTCGAAGGAATCTACGACCCTGCCGAGTGTGACGAACCCAAAGGGGTGAAAGAGGTAACGCAGTGGTACAACGAAATGCTCGAACGCGTCGTCCGCCGCGACCCGGAACAATACTGGTGGGTCCACAACCGCTGGAAAGACGACCGCCCCGCAAAGCGCCGAGAAAAAGAAGCCAAACGAAAAGAAGCCGCCAAACTGGCCCAAGCGGCGTAGCGATTGGTTATTAGGAAGTGCTTGGCTCAGGAGGACTCAATCTCTTGTTTCGATTTGGGTGAGTAAGTGGTCACGTTCTCGCACTTCGCGCTGGCGAGAGGCCAGTGGCATATCCATGTGATTTGATTGCTAGATATGCACTGTTCCTACGAATTTGGCCAGCGAGGTTGTCGCTGGCCAAATTCCTTTGGATTTCTATGTCTACGGTATCTAAATACCATTGCAATCTACTCAAGCTAACGCTTCGTCGATTCAAGGTCGAAATTAAACTGATTTTCGCCTTTCTGGACGCTTGCACTTAGAGTTGTGCCGCGATTGTAGCGTGGAGGGATCTTCTCTGGTGGCTGTTCGACAGGAGGAGCAGTAACAGGCGGGGCTTTATGCTCGGTCGTGATAGAGACTGTATGCTGTCCAGCTTCAGCGCCCA